TAAAAATGGCATCAAAGTTTATGTTTGACAGCAGCAGTGCATGAAGTAAAGCTGCACTTGTTTTGACAGAAACCAGGACACAATAAATAATTTTGTTTGCTTTGGAGCTTTAGGTTAATCTTCCCCAAACACAGGATCTTGATGGACGTTTTTTTTTTTTAGCTAATCCAGAAAGCTCAGACAAATAAAAACTACTAAAATCAGACTTGGCAAACCCAGTTGTTCGACCCAAACGGCTTTTCTACCACCTTTTCTCAGTGCTTTAATGAAAATCAGTGTCATATTTTCTGTCTTTTAAAGAGAACTCTGATGAGGGTTGGTTTAGTCGAGCAAATGTCGTTTTTAGAAAACATTTGGTTACAGTAACTTACCACATCTGGAGTCGGCAGCTGATGATTTTCAAACGATCTGTGTTTTAGAGACCAAGACGGGCCTGATCAACTGAACTCTCTGGTTGGCTTATGGTGAATTTATGCCAACTCCTGTTGGCCTGACAAATCACAATCTCATTGTGCACGGTCGAAACCGCACTAGTCAAATAGATTTCCACAAACATCTGTGCTGCTTAAACGGCCTCAGAAGAAATTGAATTTACATTATTTGGTTTATGTTGGATGTCTCTGTCGTGCTGTAATGGGAGGGTCTCAACCTCCTGTCTCTAAAATGTAGCAGGACATCGACTGGATATTGATGCTGCAGCAGAAACATGCTGCAGCATCACAGTTGCTGCAGCATGTTTCTCCAGTTCTTTCAACCAACTGGAGGTAAAATTTCCACCAACTTTCAACACCAGTGAATGAATACAGAAAATATCTGAGTCTGTTGATCCGATTTTAAAGATTCTTATGTGCTCCCAAATCAATACAATCTGCAATACAAAATGTTAATCAGCTGACGGCTCGTCAGCTATACCACAGGTTATGGTGGAGTAGAAAACTATAGATGTAGCTCAACACTGAAGAAAATGTTGAGCAAAATTATTGGAAATACAGAAACTATACAGAACTTTTGCTGAACACATCTGCATGGGCCAGATTACAATGTAAACGTTATTGTTTTAAATGCATCAGACACATGTTTCTTTGGAAACACAATTAATTTTGGTATAGAATAACAATTTTTTGTTTCTTGATTGTAAAAATTTAATAACTGAACTGACAAAGTGGCAGAATAAAGACACTAAAAATAAGGAATTGTGATAAAATAAATGCACAACTGAATCAAAGTACAATAAATTTTACCTATTGCTTTACCAAGCAGGCAAGTGAAACTAGTAGATTATATATTTTTAAATAAGTGAGGGTTTAATTCTGCCCTACTTATTGCTCTCTTTCTCTATCTACTGTCTCATGTTGGCATGGAATTATGTTTGGTTGGTCCGTCTTCACCTGGAGTCTTGTTAAAGCTTCATTAAATAAAAAGGTCCTTGATTTTAAAATTTTTGAAAAATTCAGGCTTTCAGCTCCTCTTCAGCTCCTACTTGTTGAATAATGGCAGGATTTCTTTGTAAAAGAAGAATTGTGCATCTGAAGCATAAAGGCCAACTTTGTTCATGTTGAGGCCAGAACTTTCTCATGAATGTTATCTGTGTGAGAGCGTAATCCATTCACTGCAGTCATAATTCTGCTCTGAGTGGCGCTACAACTGACTCATTCATCAGATTGTGTGTATTCTAGGAAAAAACTTAATACTTTGTGGGCCAAATTGGATGAGCTCGTGCTCTGGCATCTGCCTGGGGACCAGTTTAGTAGCCCTGCTTCATGCTCACATAACTAAAAGATCTAATTAAAATCAAAATCTTTATCTGCGTGACAGCTGCAGTATATAACTTTTACGGAAATTAGTAAAAATTGTCACCATGTCCTGACAGTAAAATATGAGATTGATTATCTGAAAGAATCAATCTCCCTCTACTCCCAGAACTACAAAAACAACCAATCAGAGCCAGGAGGAAGATCTTTGTGCTATCAGTAAACCATGTGTATGCGCTGCTCAATGATGGATAAGCAACATTACTGTTGCAGGAAAACTGTTTCATTGGAGGATTTGCTAAAATCAGAGCATTCCTGGCAGGCTCTGTTGTGCAGCATAGCAGCATGTGAGCAGCATGTGATTGACGGAGTTAAGATCCTTATGTATCGTATTGTATGCTGTCACAAAATAGTGATATAGCTTTAACAGATATGTAAAAATAAATAAATAAATAAAAGTTAAATACTGCAGCTTTAACATGCCTGTTTTCGTTTGCTTTTTAAATAGATTATTCCAGTGAATAATGTCCAGTTGGAGCTGGTATACCCTGATAAATCATCGCTCAGTGATATGTTTATCTACTGTATGTGTGTTGCTTCAAACAAAAAAAAAGAAACAAAACTGTATTCCCTTTTATTTTACTTTGGCCTGTGCTTTTCCTGTATTTTCCTCCCAGCTGAATAGTCTTACATCTGCAGCTTTCCCTCATCTCTCCCTCTTATCACACTTGTTCTGTTTCACAGTCGGGCTGCGTCAAAGTTGCCGTGTCCAAATATACACAGAAACCCACAGAAACCCACAGAAAACTCAGCCTGAGAAGTTACACGCGCTCATCAACATGCAGTGCTTCACACGCACACGCCTGCACACACACATCAGAGCTTGTTTTGGTGGACCCTAAGGAGGGTAGCCAGTGTTCAGAGCTCGTCTGTCACGCCCCCGCTCCTGTGCTTCGCTCACTGTGCAGCCTTAGTTTGACACGGCACAGCATGACAAGGCACACTACGGCTCGGCACTGCATGCAAGATGCCAACTTAACACAATAACGTTGAGATAACATCAGACCCCTGCCTGGAGCTACTCGCTCACCGCTGTAACAGCTGGTCTGTATACAGTCAGACGGAGACGAGCACTGCGGGCCAACATGCTGAGCTGTGACATATGGATGGGTGTTACAGGACTATTTTCACCAAGAGCTGACAAGTCTCCCATTGCAGTGACAGCACCGCTACTGACAGATGTGTTTTATTTTTGGCTAATTACAAATTGTTTACACCACACTCTGACTTTAGATCTCTTTCAACACAAAAAGCAGAGTCTTTAACATCTTGGCACAAAGCAGATGCTGCGGGTGATTAAAAAAACTGGATGGCTGGTTAACTTTTTGATGCAATTTAAAGTCTATCCACTGCAAACAGTTCACAGAGCTAACCTCTGTGTTGCAATTTAACAACACACCAGAGGTGAAATGTTGTGACCTCACTGGCCAGTGATTAAGGCTGAACAGACACTTCACAGTGACGACTGTAACACTCTGGTGGCTGCTGCAGCACCATGAAAAGTTGAGAGAGAACTGACATTATTATTATTAATAATAATAATAATAATAATAATGGAGGAACTGGGTTCCTGTCTAAGAAAGAAATTCAAATAATTATTGAGCCACCTCCTGCTATGGTGGCTCAAGAGGTTAAAGAGGTTCTCTGTTGTTGTCCTTGTGCAGGACATTTTAGCCACTTTGCCTTCTGGTCAGAGAGCTACTGGTAATGCTACGATGTTGCTTTACATCAGCCTGTGAATGACTGAATGTAGTGTGAAGCACTTTCCAGAGGTCTGCCAGTGAAACCTTCATTTGATCCAATTGTGTTGGAACTGAGGAATGAATGAAAACATGCAGGATTGCTCTCCAGAACCAACAACCCAGCCGCTTACTGTGGCTACGTTCAAACAGGAGGAAGATGCAACTCAAATCTGATTATAGATAAATTATAAGAATGATTAAAAAAAATGTTCAGAAGTTTGTGAATGTATTCAGAAATTGTCTTTCTGAAGGTGATCTGTGGTAATGTTTCCATGTTTAGAACAAGATTTTTGTGTCAACCAGTGCAGCTGTCGTCTATTCTCATAGTATGTTTTCAGTTTTCCTTGTATCCAAAATATTAATATTACCTTTCTTACAGCTGCTTCAGTCATTTGAAACAGTTAAAAGAACATCCTTCAATCAGTTGTTTCCAATATTGATAAAACAAATGCTATGAAAACAAGTCATTTAGAACATTTCTAATAAGTTGCTAGTGCTCTTGCTGCAGGAGTGGCCTTTTTAAAAAAGAAAAAAATTATTTAAACTAAACAAATGGCCTGAAACACAATTTTCCAAGGACACTATTTCCAGCCTCTTTTATCCCTCAATTTCCTTTCATCTCTACTCTGCTGAGGACACAAAACATAGAAATACTGCAGCAGTTCCTCATTATGCTGAGTGAGAAAAACATTATGAATCAAATTGGATTTTGCAATTTTTTCAGCACTATGTTCAATTGTGATTGCTATTTATGCACAGTCTGAGCACAAGCCAATCACATCACAGGACGATTTGCATTAATTAAAAGACTCTGTGAAACTTAACAAATTTTAATCACTAAATAACAAAAAAAAATCTACTTAAATGGATGGGTAAATATTGGACCTATATGTAGGATGATGTTTGATGCAAAAAACTGCTTAGACCAAGTCTGTATTGACTTTAGAGGATGCAGGAAATTCAACTTCCAACTTGAAGTATAATTGGCTCTGCTGTAAAATTGTTTTTGCTGCTTCATTGCCCTTCTGGAAATGAACACAGTCACGGCCTTTAGATGTGGCAGGGATCAGAAATAGATGCTCATTTCTAAGTGTTATGTAGATTTATGATAATTTAATTAATAATGGCTAATTGACCAAAAACTCAGATCAGCTGAGTTTTTAATAACACATTAAATCAAGTAATTACCGAAGGCAGGAACCCTGAAATTCATTTAAGACCGTTGCATACAAAAAGCAATGTGGTTCAACTTGAGCAGGAGTCTTTAGATGACACAGATTCCTAACAAATGCACACATCATCCAGGTCCAATTCCCACTAAGCAGGGGCTCTGGTGAACATGCCCGCTGGACTTGAAACAAAGGTTGAGCTCCTGTAAGCAGTCAGATTTCAGCGGATTCACAGAAGCAGACCAGCTGCCTGAGTCTCCCTTTGTCTGTGTTTGCAGTGGACGGAGCCATCCACCGGGTCGCGGGTCCGCTGCTCAAGAACGAGTGCGCTTCGCTCCACGGCTGCGAGACGGGGGAGGCCAAGATCACCTGTGGCTACGGCCTCCCGGCAAAGTGTGAGTGTAAAGTGTCATGCGTGTTTGTGTAGCTCTCAGCAGGTTGGGTGAGGCGGCTCGGTGTGGTGCTGCTGGACCACATCCAGGTGTGAATGTGTGGGGTAGGGTGACAATGATGTAAGGTGGCTGCAGCAGGAGGGAATCTGCACTGTTCAGTTGCCTGTAAAGACACAAGAAGAGCAGAGAATATTTTCAGAAAGCAAAGTTTAGAGTTTATTTAAAGTCAAAATTAGGCTTGAGATTCATATTCTTTAAAATGTCACAATATCATTACAATTTACACAAAACTTAATAGAATATGATCAAATTTGTTTTATTGCAATAAGAGTTATTCCATATTTTAGCTTTCACAGATATAAAAATGTTTATTTATTGCAATTATTTATAATTTATAACTATCATTTAAAAACATCTTTTAAGATCCTGTTGCTGGGAAATTGTAGCAAGCTAATGTTATCTGTTTAGTTAGCTGGGCTATCTGCTCCGGTAGAAGCTTATTGATGACTGTAGCTGTATAACTGTAGTAAAACTATAACTTTGCTCAACACTTTAATAAACTGGGCAATCTTAACAAATCTTTTTCTGGGCCAAATATGTGAATTGAGACCCAATTAGGACAAACTTTAGTCTTATTATTCTGAAAAGAATCAGAACATTATAAACCAGAGTTTTTAATATGAACTGGAAGCTGGGCTCAAACCTCTAAATTGCACCAGGTTTCTGTTGTCACGGCACGTAATTAAAAAGACAGAAATTATACAGAACTGCTGCTGAATTCATCTGCAAGGACCAGAATCCTTGTTTACAATGTAAAATATATTATTTTATATGAATCTGTTTTGAAACACAATTTATTTTGGTATACAGTAATATTTTATTTGTCCCGTAATCATAAAAAATGTCAGACAGAGAATGAAGCTGCAGGTTTCTCTCTCATCGCTTAGCAGATAAGTAGCAAAACTAACAGCACTGATCTTATCTTTATTTTAGTTAGCAAGTTTAAACAGAAACATGATTTTATTAAAGAAGTTATACTTTAAGGAGGGCTGCAATTAAAAAAGCAACATTCAGGGTAACATGTCTGTCAAAATTTCACTTAATTAGTTAAAAATAAGCTTTGAGCCATTTGAGTGGAGACAGAAGGTGAGAATCAAACTGATGTAAGTAAGCCGGCAATTTCCTTTTTGACTAGAATAACTGGTTCACAGAATGAGGATCTTCATGTTGCTAAAAACTGCTTCATGAAAAGGATTAACGAGAACAGGTCCTGAACTGTGAACATGAATAATTCAGTTTCAATGAAGTAAACAGAACCTGGAACTGGTTCCTCATTGAGAAGAACTGGCACAAAACGAGTGTTGCTTCTTCAGTTTTCACACCATCTCTACCATTTTCTTATTATTTATTTATTCTTTATCGTCAGAAATGTTTCCAAACAGATTAAACTATCTCTGTTGTGGGGAAGAAGTGTAGCAGCCTTCTTTCAGTGAGCTGACCAGCAGTGCACAGCAGCTCCATACAGCTGATCGCTTTAAGCTGCTGTTCAAACTCACTCTAAAGGGTGGAGCTGGTAAGATAGAAAATATCCATCTATTTAAATTATTTAAAAGTAAAACAATTTAAAATGTTGGTGTTGCTTCCTTCTGGAAGCGTCTCGTCTTGTTCTAGATACGTTTCAAAGTGTTTTTCTTTACAGTCGAAGTGAATCAGGCTGTAATACATTTACAACAATAATTCTCTCTTTCCATTTGTATCTCAGTAAATGGCATCTCTCCAAAGTGGGTGGAAAATGATAGAAGTGAAGCATCTACATGATAGTAAATATTTTACTGGGTGTTTTAGTGAAAGCAGGAACATCTCTTTCAATTTTCCTTATGTGACTGCAAACAAAGTTTTAGACTTGAAAAACTGCCAAATGTAATATTTATCTCTTAAATTATCTGCTGATTGAAAATGCTGTCGTCCCCATAGGGTCTTGTGTTGGTCACTGATTATTCAAGAATTAATATTATAAGCGTTTATTTTGCCAATTTTCCAAACTTATCCAAATCCAATTTTTTTAGAAGGTTCTGACATTTGTAATTACAGGATCTTTGAAATCTCTTTTTCAAATAAAATAATTGAGTCTCCGTTTCAGAACATGTTACACAAACATGCAAAGGATATGAAGGAATTCACTGTTAAATAAAAGTATTTTCAAGTGTAAAAATCCACAATCCGATCACTGGTCCAACTTGACATCTTGTTTCCTTGCAAATCGTAAAACTACAGTATATAAAATGTTAAAATATCATCAATGAAACAATTTTAAGGTAAGGTAACGTTATTTATAAACCAAAGGAAAGAGCAAAAAGGTTTTGGTTCTCCATGTTTAGATTAGTGAACTAAATGTGAAGTTAAAAGAAAAGGGAGTCATGTTTGCCCTAATGAAACTTTTATTTTCAATACAACCATTGTAATCCACATTGTGATTCAAGTGAACCCTACAGTGTTTGCTGCTACAGTGTTTGCTGCTAACATCCATCCAGCGACATTAGCTGGTTTATCTATATTTCATCAGAGTGGAGACATCTTGACACAACTATCTCAGTAAAATGGCTGAACTGCTGATCAAATGAACAACTAAATTCACTACAATAAGACCAATAAGGGAACACTTAAAAACTGCTGTGTTTTACAGACTCTCTCTCTGAGTTGCTGTAAATATTTGATGTGGAGGACATAAAACAGAAGTAGCCTAAGAGAGTAGCCATGTTCGTAGATCATGTTCAGTTAAATTGTGCCTCTCAGAGGTTTTGGCTGAATGGGAAAAGAGAAATGGTCCACTGTAATAAGAAATGTATTCATTTAGCCCATTAAATCCTTATTTTACCACTTTCATTCCTCAGAAAATTACTGATTGTTCTGCTATTATGCGCCTACAAAACTTGTTTCGTTAAGCCTCATAATCAAGTCTTAACTAACTTGTGTTTGCTTTAGGTAGATCCATCCATTAATTGCAGAGAGGAGAGGCGCTCCATTCTGTTTCCACATTGCGATCAAATCATGCATTTAGAAAGCTCTTGCTGATCCCAATCTGGATGACAAAACAGGATGTAAAAATTATGTAAATATAACTTTCGATGCAGCTTTATGTTTTGTTTCCTTAAATTGCAAACAATTATAAGTACTCTTTAATTTCTTGAATGCTGTGGAAAGCTTTCTATTAAATATCAGGGAGGTAAAAATAACTTTCAGCTTGCCAATTTGTGTTAAAATGCCAATAAAGTAGATTTTGTTTTATAATTGAGAGGAATATAGTTCATCTTTTGAACTAGTTCTTTTTAACTTGTTTAGCTCTGACTCAGAGTTGAACCAGAGGACAGAATGACCTCCATCAGGAGCAGAAATAAGGTTCAGTCAAATTTTCATATGCGTAATTTAGACTTTTATAGGAGAAATCAGCGAGAACTGATCCCATATCAGCTTAAAGAAGAGCGCCCCATTTCTCATTTGCTGTTTAAATTGAATTGTAGGACAGGAAGAGGGAGAGGGACAGTGTTGGTTCCCTCTAGAAGTGTAATTCAGCTTTATTGTAATATTTTAACCCTACTCCTTATTGTGTCACAGTAAGTGGTAGTTTTAACACGGGAAAACAGCATCAAGCTTTCACTCCTCATAAAAAAACCCCAAACAATAAATAGTGATAAGGATATCAGCCATTTAGACTCTGAATACCAGGATTATTTTTCCTAATTAGACACTGAAAGCAGAAGTGCACTGATTCTCATCTCAGACTTCAAAGTTTGTTTCACAGCTTCAGGGCAGTGCTGCTTAGTATGTAGAGAAAATTCAATAAAACCATTTGTGGCTTCAGAGAGCTGCACAAGATCTGATAAAATCGCCCCGAGTAATGACATCACTTGAGTCAGCATTAGATGCAGCAGACGAGAAAAAACCTCAGCTGTGGGATTGTGAAGAATGATGGTGCTAATAGGTATTGCAATAATGCGGGAGCCATGTTTGTACAGTGTTATGGCCACCCAGGTATGCGTGTAGGTATGAGTGCAGCGGAGATGAAAGCAACAAGGAAGCTTCTGGTCCCATGGAGAGTTTATATTCACAGTAGCAGAGAGGAGACAAAAAGAGCGAGAGAATCGCTGATAAAGGCGAGCTTAAGGCAGAAAGGAGAACATGAGAAGAAGTGAGAGATAAGGGGGGAGTGGTGCAGAGGAGAAACGAAGCAGCAGCAGCAGCATTATGGGGGAGAGCAGGGATGAGAGGGAAGCTGAATGCAGGGGGGAATTATGGGGAGATGGGTTCTTACACTTCCTGTTCCTCTTTGTTGGTTAGCTTGTGTAACTTTGAGAGACTTAGCTGTAGTTTCTGTGTCTGTGAAATGATACTGCCGCTGATCACTGTGCGCCTTTGTCTGGCTCCAGTCTGCTGCTTTCGCGTACAGGCAGGACGGCGGCGTATCAGTGGAGACGGCGAGAGCAGCCTGTCAGGTCCTATCACTCTGGTACCTGTAACTCTGTCAGCATGAGATCGGGATGACTGACAGCTTTCTGACTCACCGACTGACTGTGTGTGGGTGTCTGCACGAGCCTCTCTGCAGCGCACTCGTGTGTGCACGACCATTACCCAGCATGTGGCGTGAAGGCTGGCTCTCCCTCCTAGCAGACAAAATATTAAGTCCTGAGAATAATTCAACATCCGTCTGCTTCAGTGCTTAAACACTCACAACAGGGCTTGATTACCTCTCTGCAGGTGGGGGGAGAGAGGCAAGACAGCAGCAGCAACAGAAGGAAGGATGACAAAGCTAGCAGGAAAACTAAAGCGTGAGAGAGGCAGAGCCCTGGAAAAGGGCGAGAAATGAAATAAAACTCGACAGGAGAGGGGTGGATTGGCTGAGACGGGTCCAATCTCATGGACCGGCACTTTGATCTTGATTTGTACAGGCTTGCCACCAGATGTTGGATTTCAAGAGCATCTGACTCACAAGTTGCCAGATATCCAGG